ATATTGTTTTTTTCAGATGCCAAAAATGGCCTCCAGAATAAAAACATTCTCAAGGCTCCAGCTTTCACTGAAATTAGTCCATACCAAGGGAAGTGTAACACAACTACATAATGTAAAAGAATACACAAATACATTTGAGGTACAATAGATTCTTAGAAAGAACCAGAAAAATGAACCAACCTTCATTCTTTTTGCACTCAACTGTACTTACCTTTTGTATTACACACACTACAAACATTAATAGGGAGTCATTTTTCCTCATTCCAACAAATATATTGAGTGAAAAATACATAAAGTGGAGAACAAGTTCAAATTTACCTTTTAGGGGAGGATATATATTTTCTAGCCCAAAGACTTTATGAAGCTCATAACAATAGCAGGGAGATCCAGTGTTCAAAATATCTCTTCCTCAAGTTGTGAATTGCTTTCAGTAGGTTGCAGTCATTCAGAATTTCCTATTTTGTCAAATCCCATTTTTGGAAGTTGTCACAGTGAATGCTCTGCCTTATCCTGAGTTTTCATTCATTCATCCCCAGACTTGGTATGTGCAATCTACACCTCCTTAGCTATGTCTCATACACCAGAGCTTAGTTCTGAAAATGTTTGGTTCTTGTGTTACAGCACCAACTTTGTCCAAAAAATGACCAGACATTCTTTTTTCCCAGTTAGTGTATATACAAAAAAAGACCGGTCTTAACCGACAAGACCGGTCCATGTTAACCGGTTTTTTTGCGGTCTTGTGATCTCAAATCTGAAAGACCAAGACTGCAGGTCTGGTCTTTTGCAGTCTTGGTCTGGTCCAGTTGCGGTCTTTTTGCAGTCTTGGGACTGGACTTTCAAGCACTACAGGTGGTGGATGTTGTGTGCATAGCCTCCTGACAGTGCTTTGATATGCAAGGCAACATTTTTTGCAGAATTCAAAGGTGCATGTGACACAGTTTCGGACAGGTTCTTTTGCTGGTTGTGAGCAAAAAATAGGTCCATTGCAAGCTGTAACAGCTTTCCCCTTTTTAAGAACTGCACGCATATGGGGTTGTCCATCATTATCCGCTTCCAGCATAATGCTGACCTCAGGATTGACAACACCAGGGACCTTGCTGGCAGGGATGTTGAAGTCAGAAGCAACAGGAGCAACAGGAACAGGAGGTACACTGGTGCCTGCATCAAGAGCTGGAGAACTTTGCCTATTAGTCAGAGACAGGGAAGGACCAGCTCCAGCATTGTGCTGCAATAGTTTCTGGGGAGTCAGTGGCATTGCGAGTAGTGATTGAATGGAAGGTTGTAATTGGTGCATAAGGATTTCTGAGCATGGCATTTTGGTCACCCATTGGAAAAAGTGTGACTGGTCTGCTGGTGCATTGCACAAGACAAGCTTAAGTCAGCCAATTAAAGTCCCCTCACATATCCAACTACTCACTGATTCATACCAGTAACCTTTGTTTTCTGGGGAGTGTGTTCCATGGCAGCACAGAAGCACCAGATGGTGCTTACAACCTTCTTTGGGGCAGGGTGCACATCCTCAATCAGCCATTTCAGCATATCTGTGCAGGTAACAGAGGGAGGGAAGAAGTGGGGTGTGGTAGGATGAGTGGGTGGCTTTTAAACTGGTGGTAGGGACTAGCATGGTAGCAACTAGTAACAACCAGTAAAAAAACCATGGTTTTACCAAATATGGTACAGTATGGTACGGTTACTGTGGTTATAGGTACTACCAAGCCTTTTGAGCCTTCCTGACTTCACAGCTAAAATATCATGCTGCCCCCCTGTACTTTATTCTGTTTTTCTGTTCTGGAGAAATGATAGACTCTTTATTGTCATTTAGACTTGTTTTACCCTTATTTTTGTTATTCAAATTAGGCCTACACCCCGAGCTTTGTGCAATCCTTGCTGCTCCCTTGAGCCAAAAACTCAAACCCCATGGAGCAGAGCCAGTTTTCAATTTACAACAGGTAAAAAAATGCCAAATAAATTTGGTTTTATACTTTGCAGTATCTGGAGTCAGTATGACCTTGAATCTTTTTAAATATAACGCAAGCAAAGCTGAGGACAGGAGAAACGATGAAATGCATCTTGATCATTAATAAATTTGTATACAGTTATTTATTTGGACTAGTCATGCTTTGTAACCCTATTAAATTCCTTTAGCCGGCTTGGCAGTTCCGTAAAACCGTGGATTTCCATAAATTCCATGGTTCCATACCGAATGTTACTGGTAACTAAATTCCGGTAAATTCCGTGGTATTACCGAAACCATTAGTGTTTAAAGGTTCAGTTCAGTCCGGTTTTTTGCCCCGAAAACGCGCAACCGTGGACCGCAACCGGTCCAGGACCGACCCAGATATTGAGGGAACCGAACTGAACCACCTAGGACCGGTCTTTTGCGGTCCATGATACCGGTTCAGACCGATCCAGACTGGTTTTTTTGCATATAATTTATTATACCAATATAAACCATTTTTATCTCAACCATTATTACTCTGAAAAATAAACGGGTTATATAAAATAGTAAAGCATATAAATACCCGTCATTCTACCAATTTTCAAGAGATTTAATGAAGATTTGACATAGCTATGACTGAAACTGAATTACATCTCCTAGAGACTCGGGTAAAATATGGATTTGGTTATATCTTTCTCAATTCTTAACCGTTTTTGATGAAACAAAAACCCAATAAAAGGCAATAAACGTGGTTACAAGGCTATGTAACTCACGTGACCGTTTAACCGGTTGCAACCGATTAAAACCGGTCTTTGAACGGTTTTAAAAGATTTTCGAAATGAGGCAACTGGCAACTGGACCAACCCCAAATTGGGGCAACTGCAACCGAAAAAAAGACCGGGCCATGGTCGGGTTCAGTTCGGTCCACTGGTTTTTTGCGGTCCTATGGACTGAACCTTTAAACACTAGAAACCATGCTAGTCCCTAATCTGTACTTTGGGATGAAAAAGTGAACTTGTAACCAGAAAGTGAACTGACTGTTGAAAAATGAACTTCAAGAGAAAATCTGTACTTCAGGAAGAAGAAGTGAACTGATCAATAGAAAGTGAACTTCTTCACAACTTGATTCTTGAGTTCACATTTGGAGTTCACATTACGGTAGATTCGTTCACATTTGAGTACAGATTATAAGTTCAGATAATATATGAACTGTTTTCTTCTAGTGTCTAACTTCTGGTTTGTTGGAGTGAATAAACCATAATGCCAACTGATTAGATTCTATTAGATTTATTTCCTTGCCTCGAATAAACTCACTTCCCTCCCATCTGGGCTAGTTTGAGGTCATGCAGGCCCATGGTTGGGTGTATCATAGCAGATACTCAATATACTCAGCCAACAAGTAAGGCCACCCAAAAATTAAAGCCCAGGAAATGTCAAATGAGCTGAAAAGGACCATGGTCCAGTGAGTTGGTGTTGAGAAATGTGTTTGAGGAGGGAAAAACATGTTCAGGGAGGAATTTTGTATCCACAATAAATTGCTACTGCTAATGAACTCTGTAGTGGTACAAAACTACAACCAGAGAGGGCAGAATGTCCTCAGCTGTAGGAGAGTTGCATGAATGAGGTAGAGCTAACTAAGCCAGGTGGGAAGGAAACACACCCAAGAAGGAAAGGTTTCCTCTTGGCAGGGTTTATTTGTGTGTTTGAAATCTGTTCGAACTTCGAGGGGTCCATACAGGACCCCTGAAAGTACCCTTGGAACCCAGATCCAAAAAGTCGAAATTTTTGGAATTTTTATCCGGACAGTTTTGGACAATTTCTATCCGGATGGTGGATCTGGGTCCAGGTATGGGCAAAATTTATCCGGACGCGGATCTGGGTTACCCAAAACCTCTATTTTTGCTTTTCTTTTCTTTTGAAAACACCATATTTTCGCTTAAAAACACCTATTTTCGCTTTAAAACACCAATTTCATGCTTGGCGTCTCCTCTGGAGCCCTAATAGGCATCCTACAAGCATCTCAGATAACAAAACACTAAAATACACGAAATTGTGCCCATTTTTTGGCCCCTCTGAGGGATATTTGAGAGTGCAGAGAAATGCAAATATCGATGGTGTAAGATGGTCAAAGTGAAAAACTAATATTATGTTCACTTGGTGTAGTGGTTAAAATGTTATTGGCTTAGTTGATGATGTTCACATTCAATATGTCTTGAGTTCGGACCCCCACCTGCACGAATTTTTATCCGGAAGTGGCTCTGGGTTTGGTGGGTCAGCCCAATTTCTATCCGGAAATCTGCCTCCGGGTTCCAGCCAAAATGGCCCAAATTCTATCCAGACTGTGCTATGGGTTTTCAAAAATTTTTCAGAATTTTTATCCGGATTGGGATCTGGGTTCCAAGGGTATTTTCAGGGCAGCCTACTGGTGTTTGTAGCTGCTATTACATAATAGCAGGTGGCTATGTGCTTATGTGATAGCAGGTGGCTATGCATATGCTTATGTGATAGCAGGTGGCTATGCATATGCTTATGTGATAGCAGGTGGCTATGCTTTTGCTTATGTGATAGCAATAATCTCCAGCCTGCTTCTGTAATACTTGCCCTCTCTGCAGTCTTCCACTACATTTTTACATCATATAAAATTGAGATTATACTGAGATTATTACATGAGTATGAGCTACCGAATTTTTATGCATTTTACTGTTCAAAAAATTGTTAAATCAGCAACATCAGTTGAAATTGACATTTTTGAATTCTGAACTTGCTACTGTGCCATTTTTATCAACTCAACAGTCACAGGTCATAGGCCATTTACAACTACCAAAATGGCATGTGGGGTTATGGCAATTTTTGGTCAACTGCCAAAACAACTGGAAAAATTGTAAAGAAATCCCATAGAAATAACCCTGAGAAATCCAACAGACATTTCTCATGTTTTGGACAAAATTAACTCCTGAGTACAAGAAATTTGAAGTCTTGAAATAAAAGAGTAATACCTCATTGCTTTGATAAACATAATTTTAAATTGTGGCTTGTTAATCTTCTGAAATTTCAACTGAAGCTTTGGATAGATTATGTCTTTCTGTGTAAGATATTTTCAAGCACTTGCATAAGTCTTACACTTGACTGTATCACCCAGAAAAATTTACCCTATCTACTGGAAAGAATATTGTACAGCTGGTGTGTCCCTTGTTTAGATGGTTGTATGATTATCTGGGATGGAGATTCTGATGACTTTTAGTTGTTTACAAAGCTTATGCATGAGAGAAAAACCAAGATCCAGAGCAAAGCTGTAATTATATGGAATGGTAATCATGCAAAGGGAAATGGGATGAGATTTTTCGTTTTATAGCATTGCATGTCATAGTTTCACACATGAAAACTACTGTAAGTTATCATCAAACTTTCAGAAACAAAATCACAATGCCAGGTTGTAGATGTACAAAGAAAGAATCCTGTTTGGTCAAAACTCATTCAACATCAAAGTGGAAGTGCTTCACATGCACCCCACCAAAAAAAAAGGGTTAATTACTCCAACCTACATCCTTGAAAGTGCTCCAGAGCTGCCCAGATGTAGGTGGAAATGGAAGGATGGGCTAGTAGTTTAGAGCTCATGTATAGAAGATAAGATAAGATAAGAAATATTCTCTTTTCTTTCGCTTTTTTCCTCTTTTTATTTTATTTTATTTTATTTATGTAATACAGTCATCCACCCCTTAATGATACACCACCCCCATTTGATACACTTTTGACTAGCAAATATCTCGCTCAATACTAGACCGATTCTCACAAAACAAGTTGTAACACATAGTACAAACTCATATCTACCACTGTACATAATTTGGATACAATTGAGGCAGAATTGGCAAAGCCATGGAGCATACAAAATGGACTGTTTTTCAGGAATAGCCAAATACAGTCAGACCCCTCAATGATACACCCATAATCTTAGTTTTTCTCTGTGAAATGTGGGTCAAACATTCTGAAATTTGGTATGGTCATAGAAGGGCATTTATCAGAGATTTTCATGTAGTTTCTGTAGAGAAAGGTTGTGCTCAAATCTGTTGAAGCTAATTTCTCATTTTGGGTGTATCATTAGCAGGTGGATGACTGTAGCAGCTACAAACACCAGTACCCTGCCATTTTCAGGGGTCCTGTCCGTACCCTCTGAATAGATTAAGGTTTGTAACTGGGTTCCAACCAGGGACTCCATCAAAGTTGAACCCTTACAAGACTCGGCATCCCGGCAAAGGACCCTAGATCTCGTCGATTTATTCAAATCTAGAGAATTTGTGTTACGGAATATTGCTGCTGGAGGGTAGGTAAGGACGGTCCCGAGACTGCTGCAAGGATTTCTCCGCCAATACTGAACGTAAAGCTACAATTTTGGGTGCGTTAGAATCGCATAGTGTGCATCTAGGTCGCCCCATAAATTATTTTGTGTAAGGGTATGCCCTTGTCTTGTAACTGGATTTTAAGTGACGACACCCTGTCATTCCTGTCCAAATTAAGCAACCAACTGCTGTTGACGTAACGTGAACCGCTGCATCGATTTCTCCCCGCGTACTAAACCAAAAGGTACGATTTTTGCTGCGTTAGAATCGTAGAGTAAATAGCTAGGTCGCCCCAGTGTTTATTTTGCATAGAAACCCGCAGTGGTGCCACTATATAGTGATGGACAAGCATCTATCATCATCACTTATAGCGCACTTACAAAGCCAGGACATACATTTACACAAAATAAAATATGGGGCGACCTAGGTGCACGCTATACAATTCTAACGCACCCAAAATTGTAGCTTTACATTCAGTATTGGCGGAGAAATCCTTGCAGCAGTCTTGGGACCGTCCTTACCTACCCTCCAGCAGCAATATGATGCAATTTTCATTTTCGCATAAAATAAACTATGGGGCGACCTAGATCTCGCCGAGACAATTCCGAAACACTATAAATTATATCTCTACGATAGGTATTTACAGAGAAAATCGTGTTCGAAGATTCAGAGGATATACAAGAGGAGACACACACACACAGATGAGGAGTAGGACACATCATGTGAGAAGCGACACACCTGGTAACAATGTGTCGTTCTTCGTGATTTCGCATTTTCGAGTGTGCCATGCATAAATTCGAAACTCCGTTACGAGCGTGATGAACGCCGTCACGACTTGGTCACGACCGCTTTCTCATCACCACCACGACCACCATTTGCTTGCCTGTGCCCCACCACCCCCCACGCTCTCTTCCTCCTCACCTCGCACCCTTGCTATGGCCGACAAGGGCCGAGAGAACGGTTACGGGCCCCTTCAGGTGAGTTCCGACTCTGTTCAGCCCCGTATTTGCTAACAACCCACCCCCCATTACCTGGCGAATGCCCAGCAGGGCAAAGCCGGGCGCTCCTCCCACCTCATGCCACGTCCGCCCCCAAATCAACTCCCCTCGCAAACGCAACCTGTGGACTACGACTAACTGCCTGTGAAAACGCCCACAAAACCACCCAACTACCCACGGCAACAACTCAGCGCCCAGGATAAACCACCCACGCTGACGGAATCGGCTCACGAAAATGCCCCAACAGACGGAATCCAGTGCTGAGGCCCATCGACGAGGACCCAGCGCCACTTGGCGAACCAACAGGCAATACAGCACCGTACAGCCAGGTGCGTACCCCGCGCCTCCCCACTAAACAGCCCCGAATGACAGCGAAAACGCCAGCGCCCTCTCCGATGAGGCCACCACTGCGTCTCACTCGACCACGGCCGCGGAGACCACACGTTGACACCCAGATGTGCCGAAACTAGGCTGTCGACGGTGAGAATTCTTGGTAGGTACATTCCGGGGTCGCGATGTTGCTCCCTCTCTTAGAATCTATGTATAACTTAATGTATAGTAAGTAGTGTAAGGAATAAAACTTATAATGTCAAATTTTACGTGAGCATGGAGAGGCTGATTTCGACTTAACCTATGTACTCAATATCTAATTTGGCCGTCACACATCAGATTTTCAATCCAAAAAGGGAACATTGTGGCGGAATTTCGAAATAGTATGGATAAGATTCGACACACATTCCTGAATAAGTGACCGACATTTGCCATCAATGTGTTGAACATTGGACGGTGTGTCGTTCTTCATCACGTGTGTCGTATTTCATTTCTGTGTGTGTGTGTCGACTCTTGTCCATCCTGGAAGATTCACGGGACTTTGAGACTTTGTTTTGACGTGATTGCGGCCGCGCCAACTATTTCGAAACGGCAATAATGTTTTTTACTTCCAGTTGTCTACACGGATCTGATCTTGTACCACTTGCAGTTGACGCTGACTGAAACCTTCAAGGTTCATCAATATGTTCATCCTTGATCTCAAGAGGAGATACTTATACTTACTTCGTTGACGGTGGAACTGACTATTGTGAGTGGAACTGCATGAAGATCTCGATCGTTGAATATAAATGAATAAGCGGGTCAGGCCTTCGAGGCCTTCGGGGACGTAAAAGACGGTGCCCTAGGTGAAAAATGCTGGGTGCTCAGGAGGCCAGCTACCTCGCCTCTTTCCTTATGACAAAGCCCCGAACTTGAAGGATATTCGTGATAGAAACGCGCTGCTGAGAAGAAAGAATCCGAGGCAACGAAAGTTGTTGTTGTCCAAGCTGATGATCTGTTGACCTTCTGCCAGTTTTCCAAGAAGACGGCGGACGATGCCATCGATGTACGTTTCTCTGGATTCTGCTTATGACCCAGGACTAATGATCAAACTCAGTATGACGAGGATGTCAGCAGGGCCACTGGCTCTGGTGAAGTACAGGAGGACTTTACGTCGAACCTTAGTCGTAGTATCTCGCAGCTCACTGGTGAGTTACTCCCTCATGTGGCAAATATTGATAATCTCAACCACGTTCAGGTTTCTCGGACCCCATCTATGCGGAAGCCTATAAGGTTGGCGGGAACTCCACGGTAGGTTTTGCATTTGCATCTGTGCCGTTGCCAGTCTAGACTCTCACGGCTTCTTCCGCATCTTCGATCACGTCTTCAACACGTCCTGTTGTCGATCAGCTTTCAAGACGATTTTCGTGAAGATACATGAAGATCCCTTCTTATGTCTATCTACTGTGCTACTTGGAGGTCGATATCTACTCTTGATCCAATAGAAAGCCCTATATTGTGTGAAGTAAGTCAAATCCTCGAGCAGTAGGTGCTGCTTTGCTTGGCATTGCACTGACAGTGACATATCTATTTCCGATGGACATCCCTCTCAAAAACTTCTACTTACTAGAGAGTCTGTGATACTAGACTTGTACTCTCAAATCGTCGTGTACCTACAACACAAATGATACTCTCCGAAGTTTTTTTGGGGGAGACATCACCAAAAAACACAGATTATTGTAGGTTCTTGCTTGATTTTTACATTCTGGGCTCATAGAAACCATCTAGATAGTGAGGAACACAGGCCCATTTTTTAGAAGCTGTGCATCAACATTCCCACTCGTCACAACTTTTTCCGGGGGTCGTCACCAAAAAAACACAGAGGATGGTAAGTTCTTACTTGATTCCTACGTTCTGAGGCTCATAAAAACCGTCTAGTTAGTGAGAAATGTGGACCTCGTTTGCGAGAAGCTGCTCGCCAATGTTCCAACCTGTCGCAAGTTTTTTTCGGGGGGTCATCACTAACAAACACGGAGCATGTCGTATCATTGTAAGTTCTCGCTCGACTTCTACGTTCTGGGGCTCATAGGAATCACCCAGTTAGTGTGAAACATGGACTTTATTTGTGAGAAGCCGCACATTGACGCCCCAACTCGTCGCAATGCATTGGGGTGAGACATCACCAAAATTCACAGAATATGTCATATTATTGTGAGTTTTCCCTCAATTCTTACATTCTGGGGCTCATACGAACCGTCTACTTAGTGGGAAACATGGGCCCTTTTTTTTAGAAGCTGCACATCGACATTCGAGCTCGTCGCAATGCTTTTTGGGGAGACACCACCAAAAAACACGGAGCATGACATATTGTTGTAAGTCCGTGTTCAATTTCTATGTTCTGAGGCTCATAGGAACTGTCTATTTAGTGGGAGACGTGCGCCCCGTTTGCGAGAAGCTACGCGTCGAAGTTCGAACTCGTCGCAATGCTTTAAAACATCACCAACAAATGCAATATTATTGTAAGTTCTTGTTCAATTTTTGCGTTCTTGGGCTCATAGGAACTGTCTAGCTAGTGAGAAATATGGGCCCTCTGTTCGAAAACCTGTACATCAATGTTTGCGCTCGTCGCAAGCTTTTCTGGGGTTGCCACCAAAAAACACAGAGCATGTCATATTATTGTAAGCCCTTGCTTGTTTTTTTATGTTCTGTGGCTCATAGGAGCTTTCCAGACCCAATTCCGTCCTGGCGTATATCTTCCTCCTGCTGCAAAGAAGATCACAGTGTAATCGGCCTCGACTGAAGCCGACGGATTTGTCAAGCATCGATTGGATGAAAAGAAGTTCAATGGCAATGTATTGAGCTGAGAAGTCGAGCGCACCATATAGGTTCGAGTAGGACTCTGAGAATTCGGCTGCAGGGAGATCTGAGGTGCACACTTGAAGAATTTGAGCCACGGACGAGAGTATAAAGGTCATAAGAGACCGCTTGTGGGTCCGGGAGCTCCAGTGAAAGCTTGGTATTTTGGTCGGAGTGGTAAAATTGGAGCGTGTGGGTTCTGAGGTCATATTTATAAACGCAGGAGTGAGCATGCACAGTTCCCTTACCTCGGAAAGGGTGGCCAGGATTGAACGAATGGAAATCGACAAGTAGTAAGCCCGCCTGGTATCGGTGAAGCAGGGACAGTTGAGAGTCTTGAAGGCTGCTCTCCCTAAGCCTGCAATAGTCGCTGGTCGACGACACAATCCGACGTATTTCACCATTGCGTGTGATGGATAAGACTAGGGGCAGCGAGAAAATGGTGTTGAGACTCTCATGATGGCGAGGTGGCAGCAAAAGCGTCTGCAGGTGAAATGGAGATGAGTCTTGAATGTGCGGAAATGAAACAAGGCACACCTCCGAGTCATTTTATTCTTAATTGCATCCCACGTACGCATGTCCTTAGACTCCCGGGTCATATCCCCACTCCCTCAAAGACTCTCTCACCTGCTCTGATGTATGCGGGTGTGTCTGAGCGATCGGCGGGGCCTAAAGGGAATTGGTAAGCTAGCGTTGACATTTTCTTCTGGAGCGAGTTTGTGAGCGTGTTGGAGTGAGTGAGTGAGAGCGCGTCGGAGTGAGGTTGTGAGTTAAAGCGAGTAGTGGGTGGGTTGTTTGGGACGTTCGTGTAGAGAGGAAGTAAAGTAAGTGTAGTAGCTAAATAGTCTCCCGTAGTCAGCCCTATGAATATCATGTTTGTCTCTTTTAAGGGGAAGGGAGGTCGACAGTGATATATGGTCTGATTTCACACGCGCCCATCAAACCGCGGTACCCACATTCAAATTCAAGGTTGTCGACTATTGCCTTATAAGGCGATATATCACAGCCACCGCGTGCCCACCCAACTTCAGTCTTGCTTATCACCACGAACGCGCTGCTCATGTTCACCACATTCAGGCTTGGATCGACTGTGCCAGCTACTCCAACACCATCCAATCACACCACGCCATCCATACTCCAATCTATTCTCGAAACTCCATTGACACCATGCAATTCTCGACGCCGCACAACCAAGAAACGATCTCGAGAAGATCAAGACGAAAACTTGCCATCCGCATCATCAGGTCCATCGAAAAAGCGTTCAAGTGCAGCTTTGAAGTCCACTCCAGATGCAACACCAGCCACGCCACGGCAATACACGCCCCGCCAAACGAAACACGACAAACTTAACAGTTTATTCGACGCATTGGATGCCACGCACTGGACTCTCGGAGAGTTCCTTTATTACACCTTTCGGACAAAAGACGAACGTGGAGTCAACATACACCGCACGGTCCAACATTCCAAGTACTCGCAACACTTTCTCCGGGGAACATCAAAGCACACTCCAGCTACCATTCTCGACGCGTGGTTTCGGAGCCCGGACGGTCGCATTTCAGAAGGTTCACCCGACCTGGACCTGATGTACTCCATCGACACACCTTATGCCGAGATCAAACCTGTTCGGGCCAGATAGGGTTGGATACGGTCCAATGGGCAGATGTAGGCTCTGCTACGGTGTCGCAAGTAGCCGATGTAATACAGAAGCACCAGCCGTTGACATGGAATTATATGATGAATATTGCAATGCCAGAGTCTCGAGGTCAGCACGGTGCAGATAAGACTGTCGGAACGCGTCGTCCGACAAGTGTTGTAAGCTCCCTTTGTATTGTCGAGTGCGTGTCCATCAGGTGTGTCATAGAGTGTTGGATCAGTGTTGGCTTCAAGTTGGGCGTAGGCAGCAGGATTTGTGGAAGCCTGGAGAAATGGAGAGTCCGACATATTCAAATCACAGAATATGGAGGGTAGAATGGATTGTGTAAAGGACAGATGAAAAATTAAGGCTGCAGACGCGTAAAAAAAAACTGCTAATTAGTTGACGCGAGCGTGCTATTTGGCATTGAGTGGTCGGCACGTGTGTCAACTGATACCGAATATCTGTACCACGGTTCGGACCACCTAGACTAGTAGCTAAACAAAGAGTAACGTTGGTCAATTGGTCACTGTCTGATTTTTGATCGCACTGTAAGATAAAACCACGGATATTCTCCACAGCCACCTGGAATGCCAATGTGGAGTGTTTTTTTTACCTCAGAGAGGCGACGTAGTGATACACTGATACTGAGGGACGATGAATATGTGGTGGAAGTTCAGACACCGGAATCCGGATGCCGGTTCCCGGATGGTGCGTGACGTGTTCATTTCTCGTTCTTCTTCAACGGCTCACGCAACACTTTTACCTCCTCCTTCCCCTCTGAACCATTCATGATGACGAGCGTGCTGATAGTGACGAACAACGGGCAGGTGTTGACACAATATATTGTCTGCACCGTCACAGCAGACGAACCGGATAGAAACATTTTTGTTGTTGATGGTGCTACCTGAATTTTCGTAAGTGAGCTTTTTGTGTCCAGCTCTGAGTAGGCAAAAATGACCTGCACATTCAGATACCAAGAGATGTTGATGACCACCAATCTCCTCCTCCCGAGCGATCTGAACCATAAGAAGGTTCTCGTTATTGGCGGTGGAAACGGAGGATTTTGAAGCACGATACCATTGTAGAAGTCGTGCTATGCGATATCGATGAGGTCGGCTGCTGATCTCCATCGACTTCACTATAATTTTACTCAATATTCTCTTTTCCAGGCCAAGGTGTGATTGTCGAAGTGTTGAAGCTCCCGCAAATATCTTCCCTCCTCAGTGACCGTCTTCATTGGTGACAGTTTCACCGGGATGTGATACGACGCACGATGATTGGGCGAGTTGTAGTGCTGCTATGAGAGTTGGCGTACAGAATTGTATAGAGGCTCGATTTGACGCGCTTGGTAATCGGTTTTCTTGGAGTTGACAGGTTGGTCTTTCTTTCCCTCTTCCCCTCCATTACGAACGAGGCTGACATTCACTTACTAGATCGGAGCATCGCAAGTATCAGGAAATATCGAAGCCCCCCTCTGCCAGTCCTACCAACTCAGCTACCGCAATGGTGGATCCGCCCCATCCACACGTAGCCTCAGGGAAACCCGCCTCCCTCTCCTCCCCCGCCGGATCCTGCTCCGCTTACCATGGCAAACCGGAACACCATCCACCATCCCCACCTCATCCAACGCATCTTTCCCCTGGCCTCCGACGACGCTGAGTGTTTTTGTGGCGATGACGCTGTTGCCTACATATACGGATGAGGATCTTGCGATGTTTGCGGTGTTGCCTACTGCTTGTGCGGGTACAGCCATCAAGTGAAATGGATTACATCGTCCTGGGATTCTAGTTTCAAAAAGCCGGGAAACAACCGTATGAACGTGTTCCGGGCTGTTTCGATCTCCTGGGATTGGGAAGACTACCAGTGCCCATCTCTGTGTGAAACTCGAGGGGTATATGAGCTCAACGTTAGCGATGGGAAGCTCATCAAGGTAATTCAATCCTGTTCCATTTAGTTCCAGTTGTTCTAACTGATTGACCCTCAATGGCAAGAATATCAACAACAAGTCGCTTGAAAGTTGAAGCACCACCTGCGTCTGCACCACCCTCTGGTTACAACCAGGCACCGCCCGCATCCGCACTATCAAATCACGATCAAACACCACCACGTCTGAACCCCCAATAAATTACAACCATGCTCCATCCGCATCCGCACCCCCAGCAAAATACAACCACGTTTACCACGTTCCTTTGCTCCACCATCACTCCCACCTAACTATCACCAATCACCGCCTCCATCTACGCCTCCATTTACCTACCCCCCGTATCCAGCGTATCCTCATCCCTACCAAACGGGAACGGCTTGGGCCGGTCATCCTCAAGTAGAGGAGGGTCACGCTGAGAAAGGGGGTGACCAAAATTTAACCGCTCAAGAGAATTCCGGCGATAACACGACAGCATGCGGACATTCCCCCTTTCCTGCGCATCCATCTGTTGATACTCAAGAGCCCGGGCTGGTGCATACTCCCTATTCAGCAGCGCAACCACAGACGTACGCCCATCCTCCAACAACAACACACGCACCACTGCATCCAGGACCTCCGCGGACACAGTCATGATGTCCTGCCGCCTCTTTGGCCCGGTCTTGCGGGATGCGTAGCCTCGTGCGCAGTTTCCCGTTCCCCGACTTCTTTATATCGTTGATGCCAGAAAGGAAGCCCTTGGAAGAGGACGGCGACGCAGTATGGAGGTGTGGATGATCCCCAAGGCAAGGAAGGCATTGTTCACAATGCACCCACCATCCCAGGCGTATGTGCAGCGGGCGTTTCAAGACCATTGCCCACCTGCTCTTCCTCGGGCTTTTGATGGGCGTAATGACACAACAACCCTCTTCCCATTTTGGACGTTCTATTGGTGAGGATTGAGGTGGGGCGAGACCAACGTTGTCACCGCCAGATGGCTGAGGAAAATGACACCCTGGCGGTCACTGCTTCTCTTGAAATCCCCGCTCGTTTCACATTTCAGTACATCCTCCTTTTACATATACCCTCGCCCTTTACATTGCCGCCTCGCCCCTCACGGCTTCCTAAGCATCAAAGCCACCATCAAGATTTCATCGACAAAGACTGGTGTCATCTTCGGCAGCATTCTATGGGAAGGACAGAACATGGCCGAGGCTTGCGTTATCCTAAACGATATCCACATCAACATCATGGACTACATCAAACCCGCGTACCGTACCGAGCATCAAGTAAGTCGAATCCCTGCCTGTATCTCCAATGTAGTAACTGAGAGATGGATATAGTTCCGTAGCATGTGGGCCGAGTTCGAATGGGAGATCAGAGTCCATGTTAACTACCCTCTATCGTGTGTACCCCCTTCCCTTTGATTGGAAATAGAACAAGTCCAATAAATCGGCGCCAAATGCGACTTGGCTTTTTCAGGGAGGGAGGGATTTGCTTTTTACCTAGACGACTATTTGTATAGCTCATTTTGGGCCTCACATGGTACGGAGACGATGGCTTAATCATAGGCTTTACTTAGCTCTCACCGTCCGCGACACTTGGTTGTCATTGAGCCTTTGGTGTATACTCTTGGTATACTCCTCCACAGTCATTAGCCGACGGCTGCGTATGCCGCCATCGACGCTCCGGATTCAGACAGACTAAGACGGCAACAGCCTGCATGAATTGTGCAAAGATTGCTATTTGTACATCGATTCATTAATGATATCGCCTTCCAGTTGACACATGTTCGTTAGATCAAACCTGGATCAAACACGGCTCCCGTACACGTCCTTAGGCAGCACACCAGCCTGACCTTTGCGGATGTTGGCCTGTGCCCGTCTGCACAAGGGAGTCAGCGAGGAACATGGAAAAGTACAGCGAAGACGACTGACTTCCTGATTTTGATAGACTCAATCTGGATGAACCCAGAGGTATCGGTAGGCTCAAAGCCGCCCAACTCATCCATAGACGACTCAAGTTCGTCGTAAAGACCCTAACACAAAGATCAGCATTGAAGCATAACACGAAGAAGAGGAACGTGCCTCGGTGCTGGAGCGCCCTTCGACAACAACGTTGCCCTTATACAACTCTAATTTGACTAACCCGTTGACGGTCCTCTGGCTCACGGGGATCGAGCTGGTGACAAACTCCCTCTCTGGTGTGAAGAAGTGGCCGTTGTACAAGATCCTGCTGAATTCAATCGTGGTGAACTGGTCCCTTAGCGCACGGACGTTCCTGTCAAATTTAAGACCCTCCAAATCAACGTGGGCCGCGCGTAAGACGGTAGCATCCTCGACACTTGACCCCAATGAAGCGATTTTCGACGATATCGATTCTTCCGGTTCCATGCTTTCTGCCCAAGCCGTTGAAGGCGAGGAAGATCTCCACGGCGTCGGTGTATTCCTTGGCGTTTGCGGGTACGGTGACCTTGACGGGAAGCCCTGCCTTGAACTCGATCCTGATGTGCTCAGGTTCCTGAGGCGCATTTTCAGGGGCAGTCGTTAGCTTTCACATGTCAACTGGGGGAGTGATGTCTGGGTCTTCAAGTATCCCAGCTTCGTAGGAGATATGAAAAAGGTTCTCGTCGGTTGACCAGGGCTTGAACCAAGCTTGGACGCAGTCTGGACGACGGCAATACCCTTTTGCTCGGCGTAGGCGAGCAGGGCTTGGCGACCGGGGAAGCGGTCGTAGAATACTGTTGTTGTTGAAGCGTGAATCAGTTATATATCGATTGGGAGGAACATAATTCATACCAGGGATTCGCCAGGGAGCGATAACTTTGATGGCAGGCTTCAGGCCATAGAAGGCGAGTTCAAACGGACCTGGTCGTTTCCTTTGCTCGTGCAACCATGAGAAACGAAGCTGGTGTCGAGAGGATTGAGATACGTTTTTGAGATTCGATCGTGAGGACTCACTTGCAACCTTCTTGATCGGCGATGGCAATCATGCCACGAGCAATAACGGGTCGGGCTAGAGATGTACCGAGAAGTCCCCAAGTACACGATCAGCGCCAACAATTGTGGGACTGGCGCGTTGTGCTTGCGGCAGGACTCAGTTATAGTCTAGCTACAAACCAGGTAAGCGATTGACATTCGATCAAGAGTCAGATGTGTACCCACGGGCCACGCGTGCATATATAGGGCAACGAGCTCAAGGGTTGGTGACGACTTACAGCTCGGAACCATGAGAGAAGAGCTGGGGAGAGTAGAGAATGTCAATGATCAGCCAAGCGAGAAAAAAAGGAAATTAGAAAGCGTACGCTAATTTTATGCGTTTTTACCCCCAATCCACACTCCTCCCTTTGCATGCTCTGTCAACGACACATGTCTGAAAGTGCACGATTATGGTAAGCTTTCACAGCAGCCCTCAAGCCATTGTCAATGACTTACTTATGTCCTAGAGCGACCACCTCTGCACGACCACCTCTGTAACACAGCTCGCGTCAGCCGTCATACTACGCGTCGCAAGCCGGGCTGAGATCGAGAACTTGGTGCACGAGTGGAATGGGCGCTGAACGGGCAACAAAGGTGGTTGCTTGGCTATCGATGTGGCGGTCAGAGCTGAGGTCAGTCATCATCGTTACGCGTTACAATTTGATGGATCGTGCTCACCGTTTCCCCATCAACAACTTCAGCCACGACCTTCAACTTTCAACACCACGGGTCAGTTGGCGTCTGTCGGAATTCGTACACCATGACTTTTGACCGCACGATGCAAGCAATATCTTCAGCGCTGCAATCAGAAGTGAGAGGATATTATAGCTGCTTTACCCCAATCTAACGCCCAACTTGAGGAGATGGGATTCCCCACGTTTCGCTGCTTAAACGCGCTTCTGGTCACGGGCAACAGCGACGCAGAAGCTGCTATGGAGTCGTTGTTCTCGCACATGGACGATCCTGGTTTGTCCCTTGTCTAGACTCTCCCCTCTTTCTTACGTTTCTCATCAGCCCCATTCTTAGACATCGATAAACCGATCCAAGCAGCTCAATCTGTCGGGGGATCAGAGCCATCCCCTGGCCAGAGGGGCCCTCGGTCCACTCTGGTCATTACATTGCCCACATCCGGGTTAACGGCCAATGGTTGTTTAATGATGAGAATGTAGTCAGGGCCGACGATGAGAATGTGAAAGAGCTCGAGAAGCTCGTGTACCTGTGCTTCTTTGAGAGGGATCACATTTCCACCACCAACCAACATCTCTGCCCCACCTCTCTCCTCCTTGGCCTACAAGGTTGAACTTCAGCCGGCTCCTTCGCCCTGCCCACAAGCAACATTGGATCCCAGCTGAACATCCCCCCCGCCTCACATCCTGATTCCTCCCACACCTCGCTCAGAACCTATACCCGCTCAGCGCATCCTCTCTGTCTCCAGGGTAACAACCATCCATCATCCAATCCGCCGAAGACTTCCTGGGAAAAAAATGCAAGGCGCCGTCATCACCGCCCCAGCCTGGTTTTCCGATGCGCGCTCGAAAAGCTGCTTCGGATGCAGGCGTCAATATCCTGCAGCTGTTAGCGGAGCGGGAGCTGTGGCAGCCACGTCGACCACAATTGTTCGGAGTACAGATCTCCAAGCCGACCATCCTCCTCCATCGCTAATGTAGGCGGAGGTCAGATCGACAACAAGTTGATCAAGTTCTCAAAACACCTCTTGCAGCGTGTCCGTCTACCAATATCCAAAACAAACGAGCGGGAGCCAAGCTCCGACTAGCCATCGAGCGCACAAAGCGGACCATGAGTGCCTCCCCTAGAGCTGCAACGTGCTCCGTTGAATTGCTCAAAGATGGTCTGGACTACACCGGGTCCATCAACCGCATGCGCTTCGACATGGTTGCCAGCACTGTCTACACAACCTTCGCAGATTCTATTGTCACTCTGTTCACCCCAGCCGCCGTCGACGCCTACGGAGTTGACGAAATCGTCTAGGCACCACGTGTCTGCTTGGGTTTGACGAGTGTATCCACCTCGGGGCCGGCTTCCATGAGGAGATTGAGACCCCTTTTCTCGCGGCAGCATCGTAGGCGGAGGTATCAGAGATTCCACGACAATCTTGGCTCACGGCTCGCTGCCCAGGCTGCTCTGTCAGTGAAGATGCTGGAAGCCTTCACAAGGGACACCAAGGCCAACCACATGAGGGCCACAACGCGGACGCTGGGGGTTCTACTACCTGACCCCGCTGCGGAAAAGATTGACAACAAGCCTTGGGGAGTCTGGGTGCCCATTCTTCAAAAGGAGACTTCCCTCCCTGTGCGCAGAACGGTGTCATTCGACGTTGGCCTCACAGAGGAGTCGAAACGGTTTGCCTTTGAGGTGTATGATGTTGAGGACGCTATTCGGGTCGAGAAGATGCAGCTGCCTATGGCCGAGGGATGGCTATAATGAGGAGGAGGAGGAAGAAGAGGAAGAGATCGAACTCAACCACTCCATGACGACGAGGTAGTTAGCGAAATGAACAAGATGGTGAGTTGACGATCGTCCTTTACGCAGACCTCCAGCTAAGGCGTTCCGTCAGCTATCCTTTATCAAACAAGAGGCTCTCGAGAAAGCTCGCGAGATCTGGGTGAAAGCCGACAAAGAGTTCGCCATCGGGAAGGTATGCATCAGTAGCCCCCTTCAACAAGAATGCCTCGCTAACCAACACTTACGCAAGGACAAACTCGAGAAGCAAGAAAAAAAACAATCGAGACTCAGTACGCCGAGACTGAGTATGAAAAGAAACACAAAGGATCTGAGGTTGCCCAGAAGATGTCAGTTTGCTGCTTCGTCTACTAACCTCACACACCGACTCATAAACGATTTTTCGCACAGCGCCTAATCCACACTCACCACCAAATCCTGACTAAAGATCCTCCGTCGACAAGAAGCACCTCTAGGGCCGCTTCTCCACCACCTGCAGCTCAATCACAACCCTAGCGACCGACTAAAGCCGATGTGTGCAGTTCCAAGAGCTTCGTCCTCGCGTTTGTTTTCGTTTTTGCTGGCTATCGTATTTCTAAATTAATGCCCTACGGCCTAAGCTGCTTTAGCTTGTGAGCATGCCCCACGCCATCGAGAATTTCAATCACGCAGGAAGGTGTGTTGAGCGCAGTCTTGCGCGCTTCAAGATGCCGCCAGGACTTATTGTCCGATTATTGGGTTCATGTATGTTGCTGGTCCACCAATCGCCTCTATGACTTATCCTCTTTCAGGGATGGATTTCATGCCAGCGCCTCTGACCCACGAGATCACCATACCCTGCACATACTTTAGTAAGTATGGGCATCCCTGTCAATACTCGCAGCTCGTACACACATATTGACAAGAAATTAAAGATACTTTGAAAAGCACAACATGGGTGGATTTAGGACAATTGACACTTGCTCGGTTTAGCAAAGGCTCTCAAAGAAAAGTGTGACAAAAAACAGGGGCGATTCCTTATAAACTCCAGGACTCGTAATTTTCGTTTATTTCCATCTGGATCTCCTAAGATTTCATGACAATGCCGACCGGGGATTCCTAAGTACGTATCATGTGAATGGAGAAAAAGTCAGAAAGCATTGTCCAGAGCGTGTAACGAAAGGTACCAAGGTCATAGCGAATGCGTGAACAGCATGGTTGGCAAACCCCATCTCCATAATCCTCCTTCTCGATGTAGTCCTTGGCAGCATGAAGTATGTCCGGAGATTTAATGCATGCCTCTTCGATCTCCCCCAAAAGCCTCCATCGCTTCGCTGAAGAGCACTCCTCCGGCCATTCCTCCCTATGAAATCCAAAGCGGAGTATCTCTTGTGAGGCCCGCCTCATCTTCGCCCGCCCCTTCAGAAGACAACGAAGGTCATCAGCGGTCAGCAAGCCCCAATCCGCCACACAGACACTCTTAACGGCTTCGCCATGCTGCCGGATGTTACGCCAGTCGCCCTCTATCGAAATTCGGGAAAGGTGATAGAACGCGGCAGGCAAGATGGATGGGATGATATGTTCTCGAGCCAATCGGATAGCCGATGCGGGTTCAGGCAGCAGCCCGTTAGGATCTAGCTCATCCCACCGTCGCAGGGTGCGTGGCCAACAAGATTCGATTTGTGTGACGATGTTCTCCCTCAGATAGTCGATGGCGTACTTGTCAGTTAACTCTAGAATGTCATGTAGATGGCGCAGCGTGCAGGGGTCAAGTCGCCAAAACGGTGAATCGCTTCAGAACAAAGAATAAGACGTCAGCTCAGCATATACGGCGTGGCTCGACATACATGTCATTGTAGACCAGTTGAAGCAGGCTTTGTAACGTGTCCGATCTATCCATCAAGTACACAAGCGGTACCCCTTCGTATGTTTCCATCTCGTCGACGGGGGGTATCGAAAATAGATCTCTAAACACCATGGATATCTTCGACAGTATTGAACGATGCACTCGGAATGCGACACAGTGATTCGGAGATTGTGGAGAAAGCAAGGCAATGTTTCCATCGTCGAAATATAGAGACGTGTGATTTGTTATCACCTTCGCCATTGGATTGACGAATGGTCAGAACGGTTTGCGGTCGACGCTCAGGGTTCCGAGTCAAGGTTCAACGTTCAACGTTCAAACGTTCAAGGTTCAACCATCAACGATATTTTCCCATGCAAACGAGGTGCTCACGTGCCAGATTTTATTTGTGCCCTACAGGTCTTGCATTGTTCCCAAAATGGGAAGTCGCCTTATTTTTAGAAATGTGTCGTCCTTGGCGATCTTCAAAGTTTTGTGGCTCAACACTGGGTTTATTCAAATACAAGCCATTTTATGTTTCCTTGCTGCCCTAAAAAAGAGGGAAGAGAGGAGGAATGACATCTTTGAGCAGTAATTCTAGTATATTACTGTAGCTAATGGGTGACTTGATGCAATTTTCATTTTCGCATAAAATAAACTATGGGGCGACCTAGATCTCGCCGAGACAATTCCGAAACACTATAAATGATATCTCTACGATAGGTATTTACAGAGAAAATCGTGTTCGAAGCTTCACGGGGCTTTGAGACTTTGTTTTGACGTGATTGCGGCCGCGCCAACTATTTCAATAAAAAAACAAGTTGAAAACAAGTAATTAAATTATTGCTGGTCGCAGCAAAAAATCGCACCAAAATCAAGGTTTTCGGAACCAGCTGTAATTCGACACCTATCTTTCTCCTGCGCACTTTGCATACGCCCATAGAGCGACCACATGCATGTTTAACAGTTTCTCTCGATAGTTGACTTCTTTCGTCAGCCAGGTCGCGAACTCCTGCTGCGAAGTCCAGCGCGACAAGCCAAAGGCATCCAACATAACACAATTCCATCTGCTTGAGTCCCATAATGCAAAGAGCAACGGCCGTATAAAATCTTCCATTTCACATGTTTGTTTCCCGGTGTTCAAGTTGGGATGAACCCCACATAACTGAGAAAAGCTCACCGAATGGACTGTGATAAAGGCAAAAAAAGGACCCACCGGTGGGAGGCAACAATTGTAACAAGTCCACTGAGGAAGATTAACTAATCCTTTCCACGTGGTAAACTTGCTTTCAACAAGGACGTAGGCCTTGGCGATGTCTGGGCAGCGATTGAACTTGTGTGTAGCATTTAGGGAATTGATCCAACAAGGAGGACATAGTATGCGTAAGCCAAGAGCATCTTTCATTTTGACGAAATAATTTTTCAATGTTTCTTCGGTGTAACCTTGTATGATTTTCATGCTGCCCGATGTCCCATGTGATGCTGCTCCCTGGGGAGATGAAACTGGGCTCGCGAAGGAGTGCTGGCGCGCTGCGGTAGCCCAAGAACTCTCCGCCACCTGTGGTGTCTGCTCCACGTGCGAAGAAATGCGACGCACGTCATCTTCCCATTCCATCTCGTCGTTTTGTGTCTGAGGAGTTGCTCTTTCAGTTTCCTTGGATGGTTCCCATTCCATACGGGTAACTTCCGCGGAGGCACGGCGGTTGTCCGCAAAATGTTTCGCCACCTCTTCGTTCTTTGCATTTCGTGCGCGAGCAGCCGCCAGGTCAACACTTACACTTGAGGCCCATTCCGTAGTGTGGGTGGTAATGGGAGCTTTGATTGAAGAAAAGAAGTTGCCGTCTTGGAGGGGTTTCTGAGAAGAAATGTGATTAGTACGCCACTCCCAACCGGTAACTCGAGCAGCTCACTTACCGCGGGGACTTTCATAACTTCGACCTCACAAACATCACAAAGGATTGCTTCGCCATCATGTATGCAGGTTCCGGTTTCTAAGGCACCATCTAAATTTTTTCGAAGGCAAATTCGCCGACATTTGTCTGTATGGACATAAGCCGTCATTGCCTCCACCCCTATGTCGTCCTGATCAGGGTGCAACTTCTCGTCTTTCCTGTTGGGGTCCCAAAACACTGTTGAGTATGCAACCGGAAGGCTCCGTCCTGAACGTCCTGATTCCTGGCTGAAATCCATGATGTTTCGAGGTTTCCCGTAATGAAGGACTAGCTTGACTGCCTCGTAATCTAATCCGGATCCCAGTGCACTCGTCGCTGCCAATACTGGCACCTCTGAGCCCCCCCCTTCACGCCACGAATTAAGATTTGCTTGTTTCTCTTCAGCATCCATTTTTGCGTGATAGTGACGGCACTTTAGCGTATTTGCGACGTCTTCTGTTTCATTTCTTGACAAGCAAAATATCAAAGCTCGTTCCTTAGGCTGGAAAGACTGCAGAACCCGATGAATATAGTCCGTCACCTTGAGCTGTTGGCCAGCGGGAGTACGGTAGATTGCGTTAGCTAGAGAGTTTGACCTGCTCATCAACGGAAAAACAGAATAAATGATTCCCTTGCGTTCTGTGGGAGCCCGGATCAACAAGGTGTTTCCGGGTAGGAAGTGCATGCGTTGCATTATAGTCCCCACGGCATCAGGGGGCAAAGTCGCAGTCAGGCCGACCACGGGAACGGATCCTTCCCTCAGATGTTTGATGACATTGAATATAGGGCGGTAATGAGCAGCTGTGAGGACGAAATGGATTTCATCTATGACGACTCTGGCTATCTTGCGTTCTTGGCAACCTTTCAAAAAGTAGGACAGAAACTCGGACGTTGCGGCCGTATCTGCGAGGGCAATAATCACATGGGCATTGTAGTGAGTCACTTTCGGCTCATCGTTCGCCCAATCTGCGACGCGGATATTCTTGGCTAACAGGCGACGCTTCAAGTCCCCAAGCAATGCCACTAAGGGGACAATCACGACCGTGGCGAGGTTTGACTCGGCTACCCTCACGGCGCATGCAAAGAACAAAAGTGATTTTCCACCTCCCGTTGGCAACACCACTAACAGGTCGTTCTTCCGCTGGGCCGAGAGTTCAAGGGCACAAGCCTGGTGTGGGGACTTAAATGTTGCATGAGGCCCCATCACCTCACGCAACTCCCGCCAGCGGTCAGGTTGAATTTTCACTTTAGAAACATCAACCACAATTACGCCCAACTTTGCCTCAGGGCAACTCGAAACAGGTCGTATCGACGCATCAGAAGCCACTGTACGAGAGGCATATGTTCGTTGCATATCTTGGCTAGTGGGGGACATATTTTGAGCGTTTATCGGGGTAATGGTGGCGAATGCATCAACAATGTTTCGCTTCATGGCTGGGGCCAAAGCTGTGGCCAATTGTGAGGCTAATGGAGCCATCTGCGAGGCCGATATAGATCGAAGTGAAGAGATGATGGAAGAAGTGATTTTTTCGTAGTCAGCGATTAAAGCTGGTGTGGATCCAGTTGCTTCCCGGTGGTTTGCAAGGTTGTTGGTCAAAGATGCCGGGGCGTCGGGATAGAGTAGACGATGTTGAAGCTTTGAGAGCTCAGTGAACTTTCCCAGGCGGTCATCCGATACGTTGATGATGGAAGTGAAGGTGATCGCGTAGTTTTCCGCTGCGTCTTCGCCGTGCCCGCTTTGCTCATTGAAATATTCCTCCAAAAGGTCCCTATGCGGAACCCCACGGCAATGCTTTCGCATGATAGCGATGAGGTAGTGACGTGTGTCAGCCATCCCCATAGCGCACCCCATGCCGAAATTAACAACTGGTTCCCCTGAGACGGAGGACAAAATGGATGAAAAATCGTCAGTGTCAAAGTTTCCAGACACACTGGTAAACAGCCGGTCATGAAATCGCCGAGGGTTAAGAGATTCTCTTGGCCAGCAAGTCCAAACCATGTTCAGTGTAGGCACAACCAATGTCAACCAGATGATATAAAGTTGGCCAATTGGTGGTGGAAGACTGCGGCCGATTACCCTGGGCTTATGTGCATTTGCCTGGGTTTTGTTGTACATTGTTACAATGTTGACAAGTTCTGCATACCAGAAAATATTCCGCCGATAGAGATTGTTATTTTCTGGGGCAATGACTGCGAGTTCGGTCCCTCGAGCTGGTTGTCCTGCACCGTAGTGGGCGAGAGCGAAGAGGTTTCCTATGCAAATTTTGCAGTGGCGGCACCATTCGGCGATCCCAGCCATGTTCCAAGCGATCCCTCCAACGGAGTTGCTGTGTTCACGGTAAAAAAAACGATTGCCGAACTTCTCATCGTCCAGCATTGCACTGATCAGGAAAAGATGATGGCGATGGAACGTATTTCGCGTGTCGGAAATGAAGGAGTAACCAGGTTCTGTATTATTCAACTCATCGTGGATGACATCATGGTGGAGGTCAGGAAGTTCTAGGCCCAGCAGAACCTGCTGGCGCAGCATATGCTCCGTCTCGTTCGCCAGTTTTTGGTACATGTTCCGGAAGGATGACGTCGAGATGGGGCGTCCATCAAAGATCATCTCCTCCCCCGCAGTGTCCCTCCACATGATGCGCGGCATTCGTGGCGTATTGGCATCCAAAACAGTCGCATAATGACTCAATTCCATCAGATGAGAAAATGCGGTGTACCCGTCTTCCCGGACAGCCTTTCGGACATCTTGGACGATACTTTGGAAAGAAGCATGAAAATGGGAAGAAAACATTTAGATTTAGCTGCTCACTGCTCAAGCTCTTCTCCATTGATTCCGGCGTTGACTCGTCGAAGCACCTCCCAAAATGTTGACGCGCGGAAGGGCCATTTCAACTCCGTCAATGTACCGTTTATCTCGCCAGGATGACGGATTTTCCCCGATGGTAGGACGTTCATATATATTATGAATCGCGCAACAGGGCAGGTGTGCAAATTACCAGGTGTGTGAACTATAAGGAGAATTTCGATGACCAGTCGGTGGATGGCGCTCGCGCATTCCAAGTGGGGGTTTGTTGACTCGAGTGCTTGGACCAAGGAACGGCTCGCATCCAAGATGGGCGGCGCAAGATTAATCTTGGATCCATGATTGTTAGTGACGGCATTGCGTAGTACAAAAGCCAGAAATTGAGTTATGGTTTGACTGTAGCGTCGGAGGGTCTTGGCCCGCATTGGGACTTTGAAGGGCTCGTTGACGATATTCCTGGAGATGTCCTTCTATGAGCGTGAACTCTACTCGAGATTAAAACTGTAAGAGCGCACCCTTTAGTTGAGTTTATCCAGCGAAGCGTCGTCGTATGAACATCTAGACGGTTCATTTCCTTGGCAATGGCCGCATAATAATTACTAACAGCGTCTACCAACGGCTCCAACCTCTCGCCGTCACCTGGCATTGAAATCCACTGGGTAATATCCATCGGGGATATTCCCTGTAGTGTCTCCATCCAGCGATACTTGGCAAGTAGAGGATTTAAGACCGCTGAATCATCAGGCAGGACTAATCCGCGGTTAACCCGATCACGTTGATTATACTGACCGAGCAGAATATCCAAAGGGATGGGGGTATTGTTTGACAAAGAAGGCTGCAGCACAGAAACCTTGACCGTATATCGTCGTTGGCAAGACTCAAAGATCACCTGCACAAGTGTGTCCATGGGGGGAAATTCCCTCCTGGTGGTTTTGTGCTCCATCGAGAGATGCCGTCCCATGGTCTGTGCCGAGGTTGTGGAGTGCATACATCCACGGACTCCACACGTCAGGCCTTCGATCCATGGGATTCCTGGAACGGGAGACTTTGGGACCTCTTCTGGCTCAAAACGGTCTTGCAGGAAAAGATTGTGACGTTGAATCAGCGAGTCCACAAACGCTTTAGTGAGGGTGCGGTCTTCGTGGGGTCTGGAGCGACGATGGATAATGAGGCGAGAGGGCATGACTGCAATTTCGCAAATGTAACAAACGAGAATTTTTAAAGGGTTGTAGACAATGCAGTTGACTGACTGCAGTTGTTCGGATGTGGTGATAGTTGGGCTGTCGTAGGGAATGTCAAGCATGTTGAACTTCGGAGGGTCGACAGTTCTGTTTTCGGCGTCTTTTATTTTGCAGCATCAGTGATATATTTCTTTATGTATATCGGGGGCAGAGCTCACCAAAAGAATGACTTTCAATTATCATTGCGGGGGTAGCACTTTCGGGAACCGTTTGGGTATTACTATGCTGAGCGGGTGGTACTTGTGGGGAGACATCGCGGTCGTGAACGGACAAATGAGTGGAAGATCGATAAGAAGATATGCGTGAAGAGTGGAGTTGCAGGTCCATGTCCCCCCAATCATCGGGGCTGCCGATGATCATATCTTCCTCGTTGGGGTCTGAGCCTGAAACGACGTCGTCGTCATCATCTACCATTCTCTGCTCATTGTCGACGCCGTGGTGAGGCAATTGCAGAGAAATGTCTGGATTCTTGGGAGCAATTGGCCTTCCTTGTATACGGCTGATAGATTCGACCGTATCAAGGTGGTTTCTACGAAGGTGGTTTTGCATAACGTAGTGATCCTGAGTCGCAAAAGTGCAGTGATGCGATGAGCATTCGTATTCATCCCTTTCATTTCGCTTCAGCAGCACGTGGCCGCATCTTAATTCCAATGAATGTCGCTGCGTGTTGTGTTTTTGTAACGCTTTTTTTGAGTCGAATCTGATAGAACATATACTACAACGACGACGGCTTGACATCTCGAAGTAGAAGTAAGCGGGTGAGTTAGGACGACTGAGAGGACGCTTTACTAGGGGTTATGGAGGGACAGAAGGTCACCCGGCCGATCCTAACAAACAAATTTCTCTACAGAGCCAAACAACTGCATCCATTGTACTTATATATCTCAAACTTGTCTCAAACTTATCTCCATCTGTCATCTCAGCGGGCTCTAGTTTCAAGGTTTCTAATGCCTGTTGCGCCTCTTTTCCGAATGTGGCTAAACAGTCAGAGCGGAAATTCAGGCATCTGCCTTCGCTAACTTGAATGTCGTACGACAGTGGGCACTTCCGACTTTAAGTTGGTAGTGCGCGTACGCATACATCCAACCCCACACCTTTTCTTTCGACCCCCAATTTTTGAAACTGGGCACCGAGAACATCATTGCATTTTACTTTGTCTTATCCCTCTCTAAGCGCATCGCGCTCAAGGACATGCCTTCTGCTCAAAGTGAGTGAAATAAAGTTTTTTTAACGAATTTCAACCGAATGATTCTCATGAGAAGATCGCTCGGAGACCGTTGGGCAAAAGGAAGGGATCCCAAAGAACTTTACCATAGCGCACCCGAACACAGTACTAGAGACGCGCAAAATCGCATCTCCCTTTCCGCTTTCCTCGACCAAGATAACTTCAATTGGGATCCGGGATAGAGCTGCTGGGAATGGCTATTATGGTCGATTTACCCCTTCGATCTTGGCGCGTTCATGCTTTACATCATGGCGCGTTTGACCAGATCAATGAGCTCTACTCTCAGAGTCAGCCCCGGATGACTACCTAGAAGAACGGTGAGTCTGGCCTTATATCACCCATCCGCCCAATTTTTGACTCTCAAGTCATAGCTCCGAAAGGCCAACATCGTCCGCCCGACTTAATTTATTCCGACAAGCCTGAGCTGACTCTAAAGCTTGCGAGCTGTAGTTGTGATTTGCGTATGACTCCTCCTCCGGAAAGCAAACCAGCGAGTCAGAAAGACGTCCCCGAAACATCCACCCCAGGCGCTACTTAGCGGCGTACGATCCAGAGTGGATACCGTTGGCTATTCTGACGAATCGAAATACTTACGGGACGTATCTTGTCCCTGCAAGGATATCGTGGTCAAGGAACAGGACCAAAGAACACATCCTGTCTTTGCCAGCGACCTGCTTGAATACGCGGGCGTTAGCTGGCGCGGAGCAGAGCTTGCCCTTGCCTCACCTTTCTATCGGCCACCCTCACAATTTCCGCGATTTACTCACAAGGCGAGTGATGGTTACTCTTGATTCTAGTAAGTTCAGCTTATGACAGTTGATTGTGCAGCCATCTAGACTCAAGGTAGCTCTCGGGAGTGAATCACCGCATGTAGCGTGAAATTTATAATTCGCTCACAATGAAAAGTGAGTCTAATCTCTTTACGTCGCCTATGCGCCCAAGTTTTGACCCTCACATTATAGCTCCGAACATAGCCCGCTCGACTTGAACCATTCCGACAAGCTAGACCGAGTTTTTGAAACTTCCCCGGCAAGCAAACAAGTACTCCGAGATATTCGGGACATCCAACTCTGTGCGCTATCCACTCACGCGGTTTAAGCAGACGATATAAAACGTAAGTAATGTGGTCGCTCTTAACCATCGGAATACTTACAGAGCGTATCTCTTGCCAGTGGGAGATCCGGAGATCTTCGTCAAGCAGAAATTCATAGACACCACTAAGAGCGCATTTTAACTTTCCCAGCAATCCGCTTACACACTTCGGATAGCGCGGAGCATTCATGGCGAGGACGATGACAAACCCACTTGGGACGATGACAACCCACCTAAGGCAGCATCTTTTACGTCCCCCGAAGCCCTCTAAGGCCTATTCTTTTGGGGCCTTCAAGGTCCAACCCGCTTATCGATATATATCCAATGATCGAGATCTTTCCGCCTGTCAAGCAGTTCCACTGACAATATGGTCAGTTCTACCGTCAGCGAAGTCACTTCCACTTGCCTCTTCCGGTCGCTGTTGTTGCCGGTTTGACTGCCACCTGTAAATAATTTTGTTCAATGACAAGAATTGCCACAATAATATTTCAACGTGATCGTTGTTCACCAAGCGGCTGTCACCTGCCAATGCTGAGTGTTTGTGCCGGAATACGTTGAGAAGGAACCCTGACCGTTAGGCTGTGACTACGGTGACGGATGCCAGGTAACAGTAGTTCATGAGCGGGCACACTGAGGCCGGGTAGCGAACCCAAATGACTCTGTATTCACTGGGATATCCACTAGGTACAGATGGGCCTTATATGGCGAAGGAGGTGGGGCTAAGGATGAGGGAGTTAGATGATGTAAGTACTAGGCGAGAGGTGCTTATAAGGGTATGTAACGCATAGGCGTTTGGGGATGGGCCGAAGGAAAGGATAAAGCGCATAAGCGCTAAGATGTGATGAAAGAAACCAAGACAAGGTATGGAGCGACATGTGAGGGTCACGTCTGCTACACACGCCCTCTAGGGATTCCGAAGGGATTTCTAACTTGAAGCACGGAAATAAAAGAGTGTTGGACGTAAATGTTGAGAATAGTCAAGGGGAGGGTATTTGATGCGCCGTGAAAACGTAGTTGTGGTTGAAAGTGATTAGGAAGTGGAGGCGCGGGCGCGAGCCGCTGCTAAAATGACGGCGTCGTTCTTCCTGATTCCGAAGGGGTTCCTAACTTGAAGCATGGAAATAAAAGAGTGTTGGAAACAAATGTTGAGAGTAGTCAACGGGAGGGGTATTTGGTCCGCCGTGGAAATGTAGAAACGTAGTTGTGGTTGAAAGTGTTTAGGAAGTGGAGGCGTGGGCGCGAGCCGCTGCTAAAACGACGGCGTTGTTCTTCCTCTGAAGACGGGCAGCCTTGGCGATCTCGAAACGCTGCAGCTGAAGCGTCTCAGCGGCGTGCCGTAATAAGCTCTCGACGACATTGCCGCGCTTCGCATAAGTCGCTCGGGATTGGGTTCAACGACGAGGGCGGTGAAGGCGTTGGTAGAAGAGGAGGGAGGGGTAGTTTCAGTGGGCTGTGGAGTAGTGCGCTTTTTGCCATCGGACTTGGGTTCGAACCTACGCGTGGACTTGCTATTGCATTGCGTTCAAGTTGGGGAGCTGGAGCGATTTCCAGCTGACCACTGAAGATAGTGGGGGTGACTTTAGAAACGATGAGTCCATAGGAATTATTAGCATATCGGAAGGAATAAGCAAGATTTAAGACCTACTTCATAATTGTTCAGCGCGACTCTGCCTTCCTTGTCATGGGGGCGTTATTATTTTGAAGTTCAAGAATCATGCCCTTGCTAACTCGACTCAATCCATCTCCAGGCTTTCCCAATGTACTCACCCTCTCCTTCCAACATTTTTAAAATCCCACAATCCCCTCTCCATCCAACGCGCTTCGTTTCTACATAAACACTGGCCGAAACACGTTACGCGACGCGTTTGCTTGTTTATATTTTACTGAGAGCTCGTCGGAGTTTGAACTCAACTTGTCTTCATACCGCGATCACCTACGACGACATCGACGACATCCTCGCCTTCTAAGGGTTTTGCGACATGAAAAAGAGGTACTTACTGAGGTTAGTTACTATTTTATTTTACTTTTGGTATCTGATATGCGTTTACAGAGCTTCCTACGTTCATTGAAGGGCTACTACAGCAAACCCCCAAGATCGAGAATCACCGTGTGGAGAGTCCGTATATGCGTGTTATGTGCGTACAGTCACTCTATCATGTTCTTTCGTAACATTTATTGCCTTTTTATGTGAGTGCTCGGCATAATCTGGCACCGAACTTGTAACGCGCGTTGGCTTTCCGCAACGCCCTCTTGTGCATATCTCTCTTGGGTGCGTGGTATTCCCGCAGCGGATTCTTCGCAATATTAGACGACGTTTTCAGTTGCCTTCCTTATCAATTTCATCTTACGCTTCGCACAGGCCTGAAGTTAGTCGGTACTCCAAGTTCGCAGGTTCTTGGACACGACTGGGTAGTACGTATCTATTGATGAACTTATTTATTGACATACATCCATAGCTGTGTTTGTATCGCTTCATCCCTGCCCGGGTCGAGACGCTTGTGTTGCTTGTATCCACCGAAGGTATCGATATGGACCGCTACGCGCGTTACGCCGCTCGATCGAGGCACTAACGGGGGATGAGGAGTTTAACGGGGCTGAGGAGGCAGAGGAGGTATGATATTCTACGCAATTGCAGTACGTCGCGTTGCCTGTTTTGCTTTTCTGCACGACGGGCTAGGTCCAAAAGGACATCTAAAACCTCCATGAAGAACTCCAGCCGGAAATGGAAATTCGTGGTAGCGATATTTCTCTGCCTTTATTTCCCCCAGCCGGTTCCATGGATCCAGAAATCGCACAACACCTCGGGAGCTTGCACATACCTTGCTTAAAAGGCAGAGCTCGAGAGGATCAATCGGTGTGTTGTCGATCCTCACGCGCTTTGAACAACAAGACTGGGGATCCCCCTCAGTTACACACTGGGATTGACATTGGTACACTGCCTTGAGGACGAAGTCATTCGGTAGCAAGGTAGGCCCCTGTCACATTAAGAAAGCCCCCTCTGCGCTGACGTCGGACATTTCGGTAAAGCTGCGCGCCGTCGCGAAACGAGCGCGTCTTGTTGGCGCGTTCTTAATGCACTCTCTCGGTAATTCTGTGGGCGGTCTGTAGGTTCCTCCATTGTCCATATGGTTTAAGAAGGACTGTCGACCCTCTCTAGCGCACTCTGGCTGGCACGCCTTCGATCCCATTCAAAGCGCATTGGACTGCGCTGTTTCGTGAATTGGAGGGCGTTTGGGTGTCGTGGTGAGTAAATATTGCCACTCAATTGAGTAGGTAGAGGTGTGGTAGTCGTAGTTCTACTGAATATATATGGTTTTACCGTTTATATGCTAAATCGGTAGCAGTAGCTAGCTCACCTACGACAGTGCACCACATACAAGTGTTTCGACAGTGATTCCATGGTGCACTTTTGGGCTGATCAGTGTCCAAAACGCCGTAGACAAGTGTTTTGAAGATAGTGCATCACTTCATATAGGTGTGAAAAACACTTCAACCAAGTGTCCATGCACTTGGATTAAGTGTAAACGAAGCACTCAAATGGGGTGCAATCACTTCACAGTGCGTTGTTTTCGGAATCCGGATGCATGTTCCCGGTTGTTACGTGATGCAAGTTCAAACAACAGCTTACACATTCACAACACTCCCTCCCCTCCGAACCACCAATGACGACGAGCGTGCTGCATCTTCTCCCCTTTCTCAGCCACTGGCCACCAGCGATTCCATCCGAGCTCCAGTCGGCCGTCTGCTCACGGGGGCGTACTGTTTCCCTCTCTCGACCGCAGCGAGTCTGGCCTTCAATCAGCTCGTACAACCTACATCGCGATTTCAGCTGACTCTTCACGCGCTGTTGCCTCTTCAAAATCCTAATACCGCTGCTGAGGTCAGTTCCCTGTTAGTCGCCGATTAGCGCTCATCTAACCCGAACCTTTCCATTCGTCAAGGGAAGGGAAAAGGCGGTCAAGGTCCCAAGTGACGGCAGTGTTAGTCTGAACCAGCAGTTGGTCTGAGTGTTGTGGAAGATTTTCAAAGGAGATGATAACGATGTCAGTGTCCGCACCTTTAGGAGAGAAACCACCGCCCATCTCACACCGATTTATAGCAGATTGGCCCTCACCCCCCAAACATGCTGGCACGCTCCCTGCTGCCCAGACCTTCGCTGCTGGCACCTAGAAACCAGCTCCAATGCCCATCTATCTCTGTGCGAAACACGAGGGGTACATGAGCTCGACGCCAGCGATGCTCGGAGTAAGAAGCTCTTCAGGTAATTCAATCCCGTTCCATCTAGCCCCAGTTGTGCTAACTGAGGGACCCTCAGAATGGCCGATTATGAACAACAAGTCGCTGGAAAGTTGAAGCACCACCTATGTCTGCACCACCCGCTGGTTCGTACCAGGCACGGCCCGCATCCGCACTATCAAATCGAGATCAAGTATCACCCACATCCGAACCCCCGGTAAATTACAACCATGCTCCATCCGCATCGGCACCGCCAGCAAATTACAACCACGTTTCACCCTCTCCACTTCCACAACCCCGTCAATTTATAACCACGCCCCGCCAGCGTCTGCGCCCATCCAACTGCAACCAGGGTCCTTGCCTCCGTCTAACTACAATCCGGGTCCAGCACAATCAGGGATGCATCTCCAGCGTGCAGCTTCCCCCCCCCCCTCGTCCGCTGACATGCAATCCCATTGCTCCGTCATGTAGGCGAGCCTGGTAGTGGTGAAGTGAGAGGGAAAGTTTCCGAACTAGCAGCGAGCTCGGGACGCACATTTCCTATACATAATTTGAATTAGATACTGAATGTCGATGCTATTTTTTTTTTCTATAACGCGTCGTGCTCGAGATCTAAAGTGTTCAATTGAACTGATCAAAGTGCACCAGGAAGGGTGCCAAAGTGCTACGGAAAGATGGATTCCCAACTTTGCAAAGTTGTCAAGGAACTTTCGATGTGATTGCGCCTTACTTCGCAAAGTTGAGTTCAATTGGACGTTTTCCTGATGGGGGGCTCCACATACTTGACACACCGCGCTCACGTGCCGCCTTCGCGTGAACTCCTCGCCGTCAGTTGCCTCTTGCTCCCGCAGCGACCTTGCCGAGCATCTTAGCACTGCGGCCTCCACACTGTTAATTGCGTCTGGCCTTCCGAAATATGCCCTCCGCTCAGGCCCCTCCTGATGGCGTCCGCCGCACTTCGAACCGCATGCCGGCAAAGACTGGCACGAGCCATCCGTCACCGGTGAGTCCCTAGCCACTGAGGGGGAGCGAAACCCAGTACTCACACTCCTTCCGAAGTCGCAGGTGTTCCGAACGCCTTACAACCTCCGCAGCGCACGGGCTAAGTACCTTGCCGAAGCGGTGCGACATGGCGCCTACCTTCACAATCCGACCGCCGACTTCGATGCTCTGCTGACGACGCAGGCACCTCAGGGCTTGGGAAATCGAAAATCTCCTCGCTCCGGCTTCAACTGGGGCGACGACGGGCAGCAGGCAGAGCTCAGTAGCTCGTGGCGGTGATTCTTCCCTCCGGTCAGGCCTCTTGAGCAGCCGCACTAACGTCTCATCAGGGAAGTCCAAGTCAAGCCTCTTGTGGTGGGTCAGAAGAGACAGGAACCACCACAGGGAGCTCAAACCTCGTCCAAGCGCCAGAAAACGGAGCCTGCGCCCAACAGCAATAGGCCCAAGAGGCCTAGAGGTGGCCGGCTGCTCAAGAAGCATGGTGGCGATGAGCAATTGGCGCGAAAGGAAAGGCTTCATGAACGGTCCTATCTGCAGGGGGCTGTCTACCAGAACGCGGCCTTCTCTATGGTGGAACACACCTCCCCGACTCAACAG